TTTATTTATTTATTTAATCAATTAATTAATTAATCTAATTAAAGGAATAAAATATATAAATCAAATTAAGTATAAAAATGAAATTATATTATAAAATGATTAAAGGATTTCTGAATTTCTAAAAATGTTTTAAGAGATTTAAAAGTATTTAAAGAATCCATTTGGTGAAGACCTAAAGGCAAGCTAATCCAAAGTTAATTTGAGATGTTGTTATGCTAAAAGACCTCTGCAGAGAATGACTGTGAACTAAGGATATTGATTTTAATTTTATATCCTTTTAATTTAAATGGGATAATATGCACAAAGTATCACCAACAATGTACTTCGGTCATTCTTTGAATGTATGTATAAACATGCTAGCTTTTTCTTTCAAAATGTATGTTTGTGTATATCAACATGTACATGTTATTGTATACTAAAATAATTATGTGTACATGTGTTGTTGTTTTTTTGTTGTTGTTGTTGCTGTTGTTGTTTTTTTTATTATTATTTTTTTGTTCCAACTTAGTAGGAGATCTAGAGCTCGAATCTTTTGAATTTATTATATTTGTTTTATATTTATCCCAAAATTAACTTATACTACCTGTAAAACATGCTTAGATTAGATGAAACCCTTGTGGTGATATAATATATCATAATCTTGAATTGTTTTTCATAAATATTGTATTATGGCTATATACGTATAGCTATTTTATAAAAATTGTCTTATAAAAGCATTAGAAAAAACCTTAGAAAAAGCATTTTCATGTCATTTAGTGTTATGTCAACATTAAATGGACATATTTGTAGGGAAAATTAATAGCACTTTGATTACAAAGCTTTAAAATCACTTAAAAATTTAAGCAATAATAAGATTCCTTTTTATTTACCTGGTAATCTTCTTCTTCATGCAGAATAGCTCATAATCATCATCATTCATCATTGTCATTATCATTTCCATGGCAACTGGCGTTGTTTCTTATTAACCTCTTAGTATCATATGATCTCTTCTTCTGTTGTTTCTTGACATATATATACAACTATTTATTCACCCCCTAGTAGCAAAAAAACTTTTTGTTAGTTGAGAGAATTTCCGATGTCAAAGTTTGAATGATTCTCAAAAATAAATACAAGCCAGTTGTAGGACAAGCAAAAACAAATAATGAATTATTTTCCCCCCCCCCCCCCCCCCCTCTTTCTGTGGTAAGTTTATCTTGGGAATTTTTGTGTTCTTTCTCCCCCTTTTATTGTTTAGTTCCTGAAAATATCAATACTCCCACCACAAATTTGTAAAAGGAACCCCCTACATTCGGGAACTTCCACTTTTTTCCCATAAAAACTCCAGAATTTCCCTCCTTGGTTGGGGTATGGAACCACACAAGTCCATCACTAAACCCCAATTTCAAGATTTGCTCCACTTATTGGTCACGCACAAAGGTCTTAGTAATGTGAGACTTTGTGCATTATGCTCAAGAAGAACTTTTAGTTAGTTGTAAACATCTCCTTTTTGTCCCTGACAAGCGGAGCATGTATTGTGTTATTTAAAGAAATTAAATGATATAAACAAGAGCATTAAATACAATATTTTTTGAAAACAAAGTAAAAAAATGAAACAGCACAGTACTATTTCAATTAGCTGATAAAAGTCTTTGAGTCTCATTATCTGCTCCAAATGGGGATCAAACACTGACCACCATGTGCTGTCAGCCAGAAAGAATTATATTGATAACTTGTGATTCAGCTAATGAACATTCTGCATGATACAAATAAGCCTTTTCATAATTTAAGAATCGATTCCATTGCGCATGCGATTTTATCCCGAATTTCTCACCTTCCTTTGTCTAAACCTTCTTTTGTTCTTAATTAAAGTGTATATGACACGAAAACATTTCATCGTTTAAAATGTATAGTTTGTTAATAATAATGAATATATGGTAATAAAATTTGTTTCAAAAGCTTATTTCTTGAGATATGTAAGAAAAGTTAGCCAAACTTGTGACGTCATTTTGTTGACACGTACTCTAGATTGGGTAGTAATGCACAAAATATAAATTGTAATTCGTATAAAATAACAACAAAAGGCATATTTTATTAAACTTCATTTGATAGCTTACGTAGTACTCTTCAAATGTTGGGGAACTGAAAAGTGTACTACCTGAAATTAAGATTCTACATTCAAACATATTTCATGTATTTGCAACTAAATCTGGAGACTTGTAAACAAAATGACGTCACAACTTGTGCTAAATTTTCTTGAATTTCTAGAGAAATACGTTTTTGAAACAAATTCAAATGTGATATTCTTATTAATGCCAATAAAATACACATTTTTAACATTAATATTTTTTCGTGTCATATGCACTTTAAACAAAAGAAGGTGAGAAATTCGGGATAAAATCGCATGCGCAGTGGAATCGATTCTTAAACTATGAAAAGGCTTATTGCCATGACATCAAGGTGACACCAGACAATACTTTGATTGACAGTTTGAAAGGACCCATGATGCATTGCAGTCATATGCATGCCAAGTAGTGAGCAAAATAGATGGCATATTACCCTGAATGTGAGCCATTTATCCCCTCTTTGAAGGTAAGTTTTAAAATACAAAAACATATTTAGCTCTCAAAAACAGGTTTTGAGCAACCAATACCAAGTTTCAGTTAAAATAGCACGCTTAAGACGTCCAAACTTTGACAATGCCGCCTTCTAAGTCAAAGGTGACACAGTGACACTGTGAGTTCGACGAACTTTGTTGACTGCAAAGCTCTTAAAATTAGGTTTACTTTACCTGTCTTTAAGAAGTACTTTCATTTATAGTTGTCTTTGACGTCGGTTCTGCATAAATATTGTATTTTTCCAGCAAAACGTAAAGAAACAATGAGCTGAATGTAATGTCAACAGTTCTGTCCTGGAATATTTTCAGCTGCCTCGTTGTCATGATAATTCATGATAATTTATTCGCCTCGTTTTCAATGTTATATATTTCGAAAATTGGCATGGTTTTCACCACCGGATTGTCCGGTTTTGCTTCCTCCGCAAAGCCGTGCATGATATAAAAAGACCAGGGCCCGGCGCTATCCGACAGATAAATCTTATCCAGTGGATAAAGATATTTAACGGATTATTAGGATTTATCCGTTGGATAGAGCTATCCACCCTTCGTACAACCACTTACAACCGGGCCCAGTCCTTTTATCATCCATTTGCAAGACGTAACAAGATATGAATGCAATTCGATCTGTGAGTCTATTAGCCATGCCCTTACTTACGTCACTGCCCAAACGGTTGTTTCAGGACTCGATCTGTGAGTTCGCCATGCCCCATAGTGACTTAGATCAGCCCAGAGGTTGATTCAGGGTTCGATCCGTGAGTCATAGTCGTACCCAGCTGACTTAATCAGCACAAAGGTGCCAAAGTTGTTTCAGGTTATCGAATTTTAGTGTTGCGTTGGCTACGTTTCTTTCTTCTCCACAATCCCCTCCTCCTCCTCCTCCTCCTCCTCCTCCTCCTTCTCCTCCTCCTTCTCCTCCTCCTCTTCCTCCTCCTCTTCCTCCTCTTCGCCTTGCTCGTTCTCCACTTCCGCTCTTTCTTTTCTTTTCTTTTTTTTTCTTTTTTTCCTCCTTCCTCTTTTCTCTTCTTCAGCACGAGAACATGCAAACTTCCACTCTTTCTTTTCTTTTCTTTTTCTTTTCTTTTCTTTTCTTTTCTTTTCTTTCCTTTTCTTTTCTTTTCTTTTTTTTCTTTCTTTTTTTTTCTTTCTTTTTTTTTTTACTTTCTTTTTTCTCCTTCCTCTTTTCTCTTCTTCAGCAAGAGATCATGCAAACTTCCGCACTTTCTTTTCTTTTCTTTTCTTTTCTTTTCTTTTCTTTTTCCTTTTTTCTTTTTTTTGCTTTCTTTTTTCTCCTATCCTCTTTTCTCTTCTTCAGCAAGAGAACAAGCAAACTTCCCAAGAAAAAATGAAGAGACCTGTAACATGATATACCTCTTTTCTCAAGGTTGCGCACTCATCCACGTTAAGAAACTTGATCGGCCCACGAAACCAGAACAGGAGCTTTATAATGACAGTTATCAGATACTTTTCCATGGGATTTTTTCGATAAGAATTCATAAAATCGCCATTATTTCCCTTCTAAATATAAAACTGGCTTCTCAAAACTACTGGATTTGCGTTTTACAGTTTTGTGGCCCGTCAAGATTGGAAGCGCACGCAACCTTGAGAAAACAGTCTATTAATAAATTGGTTAACTTGCTAAAGGGAAAAACAAATACTTGAAAATAATTAAATACTGCTTTAAATAAGGAAAGATTAATAATATGTACAGCCATTCTTAGATGGCTATATTCTAGTTTAATTCCTATCAACAATTCACATTTGAAACTTAGATAATATATCAACTAATTATTTATTTATTTCGACTAAATATTGTTTTTCCTTTCATAGATTTATCTATATTTTAATCCAATTCTTATTATCTTTAATATCCGGCTTTTATTACATGTTTTTTTTCTCTCTCTTTTTTCTCTCCCATAATTCATTTATTCTCATTCAAATTCCACGATCTCTTCCTTCCTTCCGATGCTTTCCTTTGCTTTCTTTCTTTTTATATCGTTTTATCTTTTCTCTTTTTGCTATCGTTAGTACCTTGTCGTTATTATTTCATAGTATTATACTGTATTCTAAATTAATTATTCTGTAGAACAAAAATACATGCGACGGATCACAAATTTACATAATCGTAGATTCGCAACCAACTTTATTTAATTCAATCAAACACTCGAACAGACTGTGAACAAGTTTTTACTTGTCCTTGGCACAAAGTGATAACTATATCTAGATTATGTGGCAAATTTTCTGATCAACACCAAGAAGAATAATACTGCCTTGATATAAAGACTATAAAAGTTCTAGACTCTACATCTCTTGAAACCGTTTCATTGCTGACAAGCTCCGATCTGGCTAACGGTCAAAACTGAGGACAGTCTATCAAGTACTGAAGTCAAAAGTTTAGATACGCTTTTAATTAAACAGACTTCGAAACTACGTTTCCGAAAGAGGAATCCGTGTCTATTAAAAAAGACTGATTGGTGAAACACTCGATAGACGTATTTGATGTGGCTTTGAAAAAACATCTTGAAAAAGACTCCACTGAAGAAGCCATGTCGAATTATAGCGGTAACAGCCAAGCTCGAGTGCCAGTTCCTGAGTTTCACTTATGGTACTATATTATTGAAGGTGTCCTGGGTTTTTTAACCGTTATAGGCAATGGATTCGTAGTGTTTCTTATATCTACGCGTCGTCATCTTCAAGTAAACCATAACTTCTACATCGTCTCGCTAGCACTGGCTGATTTTCTCCTGGGTATTTCTCTACCAACCTTTTCGATCCTCTGCTCGTACTGTATGAAATGCGACTGGCTTGCATTCTACAAGTTTTTCAACTTTTTTGCCTTCAGCTCAGTCGCTAATCTATGCCTGATGACCTTTGATCGCTACTTTGCTATAATTTATCCTCTAATATACATCAATAGGATGACCAAGAAGGTCCTAATTGCATCTGTGGCGATAGCTTGGTTCGTTACTGCCGTTTTAGCCATGCTTCCATTTATATGGATGTACGATGCTGACAAAACAATCGTCAAGAAATACAACGATGCTTACTACCTGACTTTACTGGTTGTTTTTGAGCTTATACCTCTAGTAACTATGCCAATAGCCTATTTTAGAATCTTTAACGTTGTGCGGAAACACTCGATTCAAGTAACAACACAAAGAGACCAGCTAAGCTATAACAATCATCAACTGGAGATGAAAGATTCCAAGGAAAGCACGACCTCGAGCAACGAAAATCATGGACGTAACGACGAAGGAAAAGAAACCAAGAAAAAAAAGTCAAGCATCTTTCCGCTTGACAATGATGCCGGCCGTTCCTCAATAATAGTCCTTGGACTCGTTATACTTCTATTCTCATTGTGTTGGGCCTACGATATTTATATCACATTGTGCACAAGAGTCCATTTATGCCGGATTACAAACGTCCATGAAGAGGGAATATCAAACATCCTTATATACCTCAATAGCGCCGTTAATCCGTTCGTGTACTTTCTGTTCAAGAAGGACGTAAGGAGAGAATTGGGGGCTTGTTTGAAGAGGATTTGAATTGTTTGACGTTAATGGATCAATGTTGACTATAACCATTAATGCGCACTTTAGTGTCTAAATAATAATTAAGATGTCGTGACCAGATATATTTATGGGATCTGATGTCATATGCTTGATGCATTAGTTATCAGACTGAATGATCAGGACCGGTAAAGAATAGACTAGATTCGTGGTGAAGCGAGGTTTTCTCATACAGAAAACATGTCATTCCCTAGAGTATGATTTCTTTGTTAACGGTTGTACATGAAAAGACACATGAATATGAATACAATTCAAGCAAAGATTCTTATTCTCAAGAGAATGACACGTGTTCTGAAATGGTAAAACATCGCACCACAACGAATAAATTCCATTTAAAAATTATGCCCTCAGTCAATAGCCCATCTTTTTTCTTTGTTCTTACGCTAGTTGATCTTAGGTAAAATATATCGGAAGAGATAACTAGCTAAAAACTAGTGTGAGCTGCTTCGGTGTATCTAATGAAACAGTAATGATTAAAGGGTAAATTATACACCGTGAAAAGATGAAAAAACGTACTGACGTTTCGGACGCTAGTCCCTCGTCGGAGTAAAAGAGAGGAAAAACTATTAGCCAATCAGATTGCCAATCTGTTTTCGTAATAGGAATCCGCAATCCCATAGGCCTTTTCGCAGTCAGTGATGAGAATTGAGTAGCTTGTGTTGGCGGTTTTGGGTTACGTTGGATATGTTATGGCTTTCGACCCCCACATTTCGCTTTTTTTAGTTCTGCGCGGCTATTTTCGATCGACAATGCACAGCAATGGAAACCACTAAACAAAAGTTGCAAAAATCCACCCCCAAACGCCTGCTAAGCTGGTTAAGAATTGAGGAAATGTAAACACACAAGAAGGCGGACAAGGACAATGCAAAGAGAAGTGTCATCAAGAGTGTATTTTTTTTAACAAGAAATTCTTTATTTGTGGTAGGCGATGGGTTTTATTCTATTCTCGATCAAAGAAATCATGCTTTGCGCACCATCTCACACATAAGTTTATATTAAAGGTAAATGCAAAAAAATATTGACACTAAGCTATTCAGGTTGTCTCTTAAATCTACCACTATGTACATTAAAGAGTATTAACGGTGGTTCTGAACCTTTAAATTGCACTGCAGTTGACAGTTTCAATGTGAAATGTGAGACAGATGAAGAGTTCTAGAACAGGTGTACTAACAAAAGTAAATGTCATGCATCGATGATTTTAAAAGTATTTACTAACCGATCAGTGTTGTAGACATTCAGTAATTGAAATTTTTTATTTTGATGTGTTTTAAAAACAATCTGAATATTATCATAGATTATCATCGCGATCATCAAACGCCTTTGCACCTTGAAAATCAAGGGTAGTATAAATAGGGTTGGATTCCTGGATTCATGTGAGTTATTTTTCCAATATTTACAGATATCCGATTTGTCAGTTAGCCATCCCCCGACTTTGATCAGCCCAGAGGTTTTATTCTCTCCGCAAAAATCTAACACGTTTATTAACCAATATTCGATCTGTGAGGAAGCCATGCCCCGGCTTTGAGCACCCCAGAGCCTGGTTGTTTCAGGTTTTTGATAAAATGTGAAGGGATCATTATTCATTATTGCTTACTATCAATCACGTGACTTTTTTGGAGTTGACTGGGGGGCAAACAAGCGGTTGACTGAGGGGCAACTAGCGGATGTTAAGTCAAAACATGTCAAAATAAGTCCTAAAACTATTGCATTTGACTATTTTCACGATATCAAACCAGAAAACAAGAGATCAAAATAACCTCCAAGATTCTACAAGCCATCAAAAACGCAGCTATTACCGGAAGTGACGTCTATTGATAGCAACCTATTATAGTCCATTATTTTCCAATATCGCGGCCTCAATAATTGTCATAATCGTCATTATTACCATAGTAGGTCATTGCCATCATCGTCATCATGTAAGCAGCATTCTGTACGTCGTCATAGACATCTATTATAGATTTGCAAAAATTGTATAGGTTGCTATCAATAGACGTCACTTCCGGTAATAGCTCTTTTTTGAAGGCTTGTAGAATCCTGGAGGTTGTTTTGATCCCTTTTTTTCTGCTTTGATGTCGTGAAAATAGTCAAATACAATAGTTTGAGGACTTATTTTGATATGTTTTGACTAAGCATCCGCTAGTTGCCCCCCAGTCAACCCGCGCTTGTTTGCCCCTCAGTCAACTCCAAAAAGTCACGTGATTAATAGTAAGCAATTGATGGAATTTCATTAACTCTGTTACATGTTACACCTTCCTTTTTCGCGCTACCTCAAAAAAAAAAAAAAGAAAAGAAAAGAAAAGAGAAAAAGAAAAGGTCATGTAGTGATACGCTTCTTTCAACCGGCCAGTACGCACGTATATTTTGTTATTTTAAACCCGACAGTCTATGTTAACAAAGAAGACAGCTTCCTGTCAGACGAACTAGAGACAGCAAGCAACAGATGACCAAATATCTGCCAGTGCAAATAAGACTTGTGTAAAGAGAAAACTACCGAACTAACAAGATTAGTTTTTAGAAACGAGAGTAATTCACAACGAGTTGAGAACCATTTTCCAGTAAAATGTATCTCAATGCAACTTTCACCGGTCTTGACTTACCATCGAAATCTTCCGCTATCGCAGAATGGTATGACGTTTTATCTTTTCTTATTGCATTCATAGGGATAGTAGGAAATACGTTTGTGATTTACCTGGTAAAAACTCGCTCCTCTCTCAAAGATACAAGCAACACATTCATCATGTCGCTGGCTGTCGCAGATCTTCTGGTCAGTGTCATCATCCAACCTTCGAAATTTGCTTGTGACTTGCAACAAGAATATTGCAATGTCCAGCTCCAACGTATATTCAGTGAACTCTTCATTTACTGGTCTGTATACAATCTTTGTGGACTGACAATTGAAAGATATATTTCAATAGTCTTTCCGATGCAACGTTCCACGTTCATGTCCAAAGAAAGAGTTACTGTATGCATCATGTTATGCTGGCTGATTCCCTTTGTCAACTTTGGATTACATTTTCCATGGTTTTGTTCAGACTCCATCGAAACTAGAATGTTTTGGTTGAGAACCTTTACAGCTATAGAGACGTGCACCATGGTTGGGATTCCAGCTATTATTCTTGTAGTTTTGTATGCAAGGATTTTTTTCGTGGCGCAAAGACTTCGCAGGCTCACAGCCCATCAGATGGGAATTGTGAATTACAACAAGGACTTAAAAGACACGGTCGTAAGAAAAAATAGCTCAAACCCTGAGGTAAAAAATGCGATTGCTTTTGTGGCGGGAAGCTCTGAACAGAAAAAAATGCATGGAAGGAAAAATGAAGCGCGAGAAAAGGAAGAGGGATTCGAAAAAATGTCCCTTAACGAGACAAGGTGCCTGTGCGATGAAATTACCACAGAAGTCAATCGAGTTTGTGAATGCCATAAATGTCAATACCAAGAGCAGAATTGCAAGACGTTTTCTGCAGCTTCTACGAGCACAGATGCCAAAGGAAACTATCATAAAAATAGCCTAGTGCTTTCATTGGACGAGACAAATTTTTCAATCGAAAAAAATGATGACAAACTCAAATATGAAATTCAAATGTCAGACATAAGGGAAGCACCGAAAAAAAATTCTCGATTTTGGAGAATATGTTCTTGCTATCCAGTGTTGTATAGGATAGATCGTACAAGTATTAAAAACTCAAAGCAATCCATCAAAAAACGACTCGAGCAGTTACTGACTCCAAGACAAAGGCGTTCCGGGGTTTCTGTGATTGGGTGCATGATTGGAATATTCCTAATCTGCTGGGGAGTGGCGCTTTATTCGTCGTTTTGCTATTACTTTGCTCATTGTCCTGTTTCCAAGTCAACGCAGCGTGTCTCATGGATTCTTCTACTACTCAACAGTGCGGTCAATCCGATTGTTTATGCTCTGCTCAAGGTAGATATGCGCGCTGAATTCGTTCGCCTACTGCGAAGCTGGGTAAATAGACTTGCTAGCCTGAAGAGAGAAATAAAAATTAAACCTATGGCATGGAACAGCTGAACTGGCAATATATATCACACCGTTTGTTTTGTATTAAAACAGCAGAACATTTTCATTTTGGTTCTGGTATAAATATGTACAAATATATAGTTCGATTTTGTTTTGCTCACCGTAATATTCTTGCTTTGAAACCCGGTTAGCATAGCGCTATCTGGGCCCAATTGTACGATCGCGCTATTCAACGGATAAATCTTATCCAGTGGATAGATTTATTGGATAACAGCATCGACTTATCCACTGGATAAGGGTTTATCCGCCGGATAGCGCTATCCACCCTTCGTACAACCGGGTCTTGGCGGATCAGTCTTATCTAGTGGGTAAATTTATTTAAATTTATGCGTTGGATTTTTTATCCGATATTTTATCCGTTCGCCCCGGAACTAACATGTTATGTTTATATCAATTAATTACTTATATAAAAGAATTATTCTGACGTTGATATTTCACATGCCWCTGAAGGATGTGTTGTCGATAGTCTAAAGGGCGCTAATCCTTTCCTATCCTGTAACAACACAAGGCGTCCTTAAACAAACTTTAATATTGTACCATTATTTTTTGTTGATCCAACGTGTTTGGCATACGTCTTGCATTGAACAAAGAGTTTGAAAGAACTGTCGAAACTTTGACAACTCCACCCCCCC